ATATGATGAAGAAATAACCACTATCCGTTAAATTTTGAAAACTTTACTTTATTCAATCGATTTTAAAATACACAAAAATAAATTTAGCTTATACAAATCAATGGAAAAGAAACAAAACATCGTTTTCAAAAATCATAAAAACTCGTCGATGAAAAAGATGCTGATTTTGTTTTTATACCCTATTTTTTTCTTTGTTTTTTTGTTTTTACATTTTTATTAATCAACTTGAGTCGATTTTATATTTTGACATCACATCCCCCCTCGTTAATACAACTCTGGGCGATGGTCGGTGGTTGTTAAAGATGCAAAAGATTTCGATGTTCGATATTGATAGACAGATTTCGCTCGTATTTAGATTGTCATAGTATCGTTGATTGGTAATTCATATTTTGTTTTGTTCATTATTTGGTGCTTTAGCTGGTTTGGTTTTTCCGATGTGAATTTGTTGAATATGATCAGGAAGCTGGACATCGAACATCAAATTAGAAATTTTCTTGATAATTTTAAATGGTCCTTGAAATCGTGGTTCCAATCGTTCTTTATTTAGATCACTTGAAAGATCAACGTAGACATAGTCACCTTCATTCAATGCTACTTGATATTGTTTTTTTTCTAGTCTAATTTTTGATTTATTATGTTCGCGCTCACTTTTGTCAAATGCAATTTTCCTATCTCTGACTAAATTTCTATCGATGTAAAGATTATCTGGGTCTTGCCCATTTAGCAAATATTGTGGTGTAAATGTTGTTGAACTGTGTATTGTTGTGTTGTATTCATTCAAAACATCTTTGGCCAAGACGGACCAAGATCTGTTTGGATCGGAAAGTTTCTTGCATCTGAGACGTTCAACTAATGTCTGACCCACTCTTTCAATAAGACCATTGCTTTGTGGGTGAGCTGTTGGTGAATGAATCAATTCTATACCTCTTTCAGCTAGAATATCTTTGAATTGTTGTGATGTTAAGGAAGCGTACTTGTCGGTAAAAATGATTTTCGGCTTTCCATCCGTACAAATTTTGTCGATTAATTTTTTGTAATCTTTTGCTGATTGACCACTAGATGTAATACCCCAAACGTATCTGGAAAATGCGTCAATCGCTAAATGAAAATATCGTAATTTAACTGGAGGTTCGGAAAAACCACCTTTTGTATCGATGTGAATGATGGCAAATGGTTCTTCGGCTGGACCAAAATGACCGACTTCGCCATATTTTCGAATTTGTTTTTTACCTTTTTTGCATATGTCACATCCATTTACGATATCTTGAATGATTTTATTTTGACCGATACTGTAATATTTTGTCGAAAAATGTTTGTTCGTTTTAACAATACCTAGATGACCTTTCTCTATGTGGATTCTTTTAATTTCATCGATAGCATGTTTTTCAGGTAAATAGTATCTCATTTTTCCATTTCGAATTTTCACTAAATGTCGATCATGCTTCACACATCCTCTAGGGGGTGTGGCCCAAAGTGGTTCATGGATTTTCTCCAATTCGCCTAACGACAAGATATTTATTTCGAAATCTGGATTACGAGATAGATAATCAGCTTCTAAATTAGTTTCACCTTTGATGTAATCAATTTCAAATTCATATTGATTAAGGCGCATGGCCCAGTTCATAATTCTTGTGTTGATCTTTTTATGTGTGTTGATGTACTTCAATGGTTTGTGGTCTGTTCGTATTAAAAATTTTCGACCGTAGAGATAATGGTGCCAATATTCGATTGATTCAATTATTGCCAAGCATTCTTTTTCAGTGACCACGTAATTTTTCTGATGCTTCAATAATTTTCGTGAAAAATAACCGATTGTAATTTCTTCATTATCTTTTTGTTGTTTCAATACAGCACCTATTCCAATATCAGATGCATCGGTTATTACTATAGTGTTCAAGTTTGGATCGAAAATATGAATTACTAATTCAGATGTTAAAATTTCTTTGATTTTCACGAACGATTTTTGCTTATCTTCTGACCATTTAAATTGATGTTCTTTTTTCAATAAATCATAAAGTGGATCAAGAAGTTCGGTACGGTCAGGTATAAAACGGTGATAAAAGTTGATTTTACCAAGAAATCGACGTAATGTTTTTTTGTCATGTGGTGGAGGATAGTCAGTTATTGCAGATAAATTGTTATTCAATGGTCTAATCGTGTTTTTCGATATGAGATGACCGATATACGTCACACTTTTCTTCATGAAAAAGCATTTTGATTGTTTTAATTTCACATTTTCCTTTTTCATAACTTTTAAAACTTGGTCAATATGTCGAAGATGTTCATCTGTCGTTTTCGAAAAAATTATAATATCGTCAATATAGTTGTGTGAAAATGCTGTCAAATTATTTCGTTTTAGGATGTTGTAAACGATTCTTTGAAATATAGCAGGGGCGTTTTTGAGCCCAAATGGCATGACCTTCCATTGGAAGTGTTCATGCATCGTAACGAATGCAGTTTTTGTTTTGTCTTCCGGAGCAACTCGAATGTGGTGAAATCCGGAGGATATGTCAAGTGTCGAAAAGAATTCAGCATTCAATAATTTATCTTCGATATCTCGTATGTTTGGCATTGGATAACGTTCGGGAATCGTGATAGAATTTAATTTTCTATAATCGATGCATAATCTTGTTTTTTCACCTTCGTCCTTTTTGTTGACCAACACCACCGGAAAAGAATAATTTGACGTCGATCGTTCAATTAAATCTCGATTAAGCAAATCTGTTATTTGATTATCTATTTTGTCTTGATCAATAGTTGATGTTCGATAAGCTTTTTGATTAATTGGAATATTATTTTCGAGATTGATGTAACAATAGTCACCGATAATTTGCCCAACTTCACCCTTTGATTGTGCAAATACTTCATTATGTTTTTTCAAAATTTCGTCACATGCTTGCCGATTGGTATCATCAATTTGAATAGCATTTGTTTCATTATTTTGCAGGTACTCACCTGGTATTTTAAAGAATGTACTGTCAATGAATTGTAATATATTTCCATGTGGATCACGGATTAGACTAAATATTGACATTGCATCTACGCCTAGAATAAGATGGCGGAGACCAGGTAATACGTAAAATTTTTGTTGTCGACTTTTAATTCCGATTTTTACTCTTGTTGTTACGGTACCAATTGCCATTCCGGTAGCCGCTGCTTGATTGATAGGAATAGATTCGGGTTCAAGTACCAATTTCAATTTTTCTTGTAGTTCAGTGTTCATTACACAATTTGTTGACCCAGAATCGAATAGAGCATGACATTCTGTCTTGTTGATGGTGATCAAAATTTTTGTTAATCCCTTTTTCGGTAAATTAATATTGTTCAATTCTGGTTGTGTTTGTCGTGATGTCGGTGAAGCTGTCGGTTGAACATTTGTTGATTCAGTATTATTCTTATTTTCACAGATTGATGCTGGATGATCACCATTACATAAAAAGCATTTTAAAGGTCGACGACAATTTTGTGCGTTATGACCGTATTTCAAACATTTATGACATCTATTTCGTCGATCAAGACTTTCTTTTCTCTCTCGTAGCGATAGTCTACATTGATTTGATCGATGATCTTGTTGGCAAAAGATGCAATTTGGTCTATCACGATTTGGTGAATATCTTTGCCAATTCTGATTCCTATTTTGATATTGTCCATCGTACGAGTATCTTCTATCCGGATTATTCAAATTTACCATTTCAAGATTAAGACTTGTTGGGTTGGTTCGTCTAGCTGATCGTATTTCTTCATGTTTGACAATATTGGCTATACGTTGATTTCTTTCGACGTAATATCGCAAATCAGCCATGTATTTTTCACATCGCAAGCCAGTGTCAGCCAAGTGATCTGATGTTCGTAATATTTCCAATGGAAATTTACTACCGACAATGGACATAAATTCCGATTCCAAATAGGCATCGTTCATTTTATTCATTTTCAAAATGCCATATTTTTCTTGTACAACAACCAGATTATCAGTCATGGTTTTTAGATCCCATTCATTGGTCACCCTCGGTAAAGCTTCGAGTTTTTGCGATATTTCGGATCGAAGTGAAAAGGTACTTGAATAATGGTTTACCAATTTCAAATATGCTTGATGATAATCCAATATTCCTGCAATGATACCGCGGGGTTTTTCACCCAATTTTGATTTCAGTATCAATAATTTTCTTCCCGGTTCAATTCTGATATGATGAACTAATTCATCGAATGTAGAACGAAAATTTGGAAATTCTTCGAATGAACCATGAAACATTGGAATAAGATATTGGTACTTAATCATTATGTTTTCGTCATTTCTTCGATCTTGTACATGATATAAATTGTGATTGAAATTTTGATGATTATTCACTTCTGGTGGGATCATAAATGGTTGTGCTCCGATATTTTGTTGGTTATGAAATACTGGTTGAAACTGTTGTGGTAAATTATACATTGGATTGGTATTTGAAGGTTGTTGCGGAATATGAAATTCTTGTGGATTATATGTTGGTTGATTCATATTAAATGGTACACGAAAATATGGTTGATTATAAAATTCTGGTCGAAATTGTTGTGGAATATCATGTATTTGATTGGTGTTTGTCGATTGTTGCTGAACATGAGATTCTGGTGGTTGGACAAGATTCGTTGTTGCTTGTTGTTGGTCATTAGATTCTAGTGGTTTGTCAATATTCGATGTTGATTGTTGATTATCATTCGGTTCTGGTTGTTGGGTAGTATTCGGTGATGTTTGTTGATTTGCCGGTTTAACATAAATCACTGTAGGCGAAAATGCTGTTGCCATACTGTAGTTTGGTGAAGAAATCGATATTGGTGATTGATGCTGCGTGGTAATAATGGGTGCACTATCTTGTTGATTTTCGTTACGCTTCTTTTCATCATTCAATTTTCGTTTGATCGTGTCGATAATATTCATCAATGTTTCTTTGATGGGACTAATACTTTCACGATCCGGCAGATCTTTGATACCGCTTGCTTGCCATTTTTCATAATGGTCATTAGCTGTGTTAATTATTTCTAAATAGTCTTGCGACCTGACTAAATTCTTTAAGCAATTATCCTGATTGATGTCGTGGCATGATCTAGCTAATGTATCTATTTTCCTATGAACTAAAGTGTATTCTAAAATTTCTGTCTTGTATTGATCAATTAATTCTTCGCTGGCTGTTTCGTTTGTCATGTTTAATGAATTTTGTTTATTGTGTAATTAGCAGAAGAAGGGACATTTGTGTACGCGAAATTTGATGCGATTTTCTTTGATGAATGATGAACACGATGGAAAAAAAAATTTTTAATCAGCTTCGATAAACTTGAAATTTTGACAATCTGAATTGATCAACGAAAGCGAAACCCACGATAACCACGATAATGAAGTACGAGAAGAAGAAAAAAAACTGCGACAACACTTTTACACTTAATTTGACACTGTAATTATCACAATACTAAAATGATGCTTAAAAAAAAAATCACAGTTGTTTTTACTTGACGAAAAAAAAAAAATTTAACTATTGGAGGTTGATGAATTCAGTTTTTCGTATCGATTCCGTCGACCGGACTTGGATACACTGATGATTCTTTTATCCTACTGGCTTATGATGAA